ACGCCACTGTCGACCTTGAGATCAGATTTGTTCTTGTCATTCTTCACTGAGTAGATGAAATATGTTAGGGTGTCTTTTTCATTCACTGGAATAGACCGAAAGTGGCAACCAACTATCTACAAATAAAAAACAAATTAAACGTTAGATGTAGCAGATTCTGTGAGCTAAGTAAAAGGCACTGTTTTGTCAAAGTGTTATGTGACCACAAGAGATAGTCTTTTAAAAATAAGCTGTTTTAGCAAAGTATGAACAAGCCCCAAAGCACAGAAAAAACCAAAATATTATAAAAAAAAGACAGTTTGAAAAAAAAAGACAGTTTGATTTCAAAGGATCCTTTAGTTTACTCAATTAATATGCTCTAATTCTAAGTATTTTACTCCCTTTAGTCCACTGGTTATAAGTATTAATGTATGCACTGGTTATAAGTGTTTTTCCCTTTAACAACTTTAAAGTACATGTTCTTAAACATTAAATAACAATGACGTAAAACAGAAAAGTCGACAGGCATCACATGAAGGAGAGTTCACTCTGTATTCACAGGAAAAGATTAACATAAAGTAAACAAAACAACAACAAAAACCCTTGGTAACAAAATATGATACCATAAATAGTTTTGGTGCAATTGGCATTCACTCTCCATAAGTTTCAGCAAAATTTTCTGAGTAAGATTTAAGAAGGGAAAACTAAAGGAGCTGGAAAGATCAAGAGGACTGCTTCCCTGTCTTTTCATGCCAGAAATCAAACATACATGCCATATTACCAACACCAACAAGGAACTGAGCTGCTAATGTGTGCACTCAGATTCCAGAAGACTGCCTGTTTTTCTAGAACAGAAAATAACTCTGAACTAATCCAACTGTTTTCAGAAGACCAGTTTTAAAGGTTTGAGATTTGAGTTATATACTATATGATGTTATATAATGCAAAGCTTGCATCAGTTCTTGGTTCCTCTCTGTTACAGAAAGGGGCGACCATACTTCACTAATGTCTAGTGTATTTCATCCTAGTACAGGATGTCTTTATGTTTATATAGTATGCCACAGTAAAAGGACTAGATCTTTAAATAGATTTAAAGAAAAATTATATTTTTGTTGCCTAGGCAAGAAATAGAGGAGAAAATTTGGCTAGTTAGCATACTGAATTTTAATGTTAAAGAACTTTCTACAAAGATCTGCAACTTGCATTTATCTTTTATTTAATATGCACATTAGGAATGTAGGCTAACTACTCAAGTCAAGCTGAAGATTATGAGGAAGCGCGTGTAAACACACTGAGACAGAGAGAGATTTCTGTCTATTTAGTGGAAAATGTTACTTTAGATATAAAGTATAATTATTTAAATCTGTAAATATGTTAAAGCGCACAGATTTTGTGGCTCTATTACTTCTTGAAAACACACACACATACAGAGCTAACTTCCACAGCACTCTGAAGGAACCAAAGCCCTATACAAAACAAACTTTAAGTAAAAGGTTGGATAAGATCTCGATATAAAGAAAGCACCCTCTACTTAAAAACAACGACGACCTGAAAGGAAAACTAGAAAGTTGGGGAGTCCTGCTTCAGGATCATCTGTAGGCCCATCCCATAGAAGCTTTGAAAACTAAATTCTAATAAATGCTTGTAAGCTTATTTATTTGCTATGTCTCAATTAGGTGTTCAATAAATAGCCACTGAACAATTAGAAACTTAAAACAGATTTCTGAAATGATAAAAATTTCTCCCTGAATACTCTGAAAAATCACAATGAAAAGATGCTGTAAATGGATTTTCTAGGCGGCAGACAGTTGTTTCTAAACCACTGTATTAAGACCATGATAGACCCATTAACTTTGACTTTCCTGTATGTAATATACTGCTATACATACCACATTTATCTATTTCATCATCATTTAGTGACCTCTTGTTGGTGTGAACAGGTTTGTTTACACAGCATAAAAATTATATATACCTCAACGAGTTGTGCTTTATTAAGACCTGGTCTAGTTGGAAGCTTGAAGTGTCTTTTATATCTTCTAAGTGTATTTACTTGTAATTGGTACAAATCAACCTAGAAAAAAAATTAAGATATAAATTAGTTCACTCTGCTGAAAAGTTACCACTGATCTGGAAGGCAAGGGAACATCCACTTCAGCACAATAACAATTTCTTTTACATAATCAGATCTAGAGTTTATTAGTTCCACCTTTGGGGGATACATAGTGGAAGCTTTTAGAGGAAAAAAAAAAGGAAGTCATATGTCAAGGGCTATAAGAATTGTCACCTGAGACTTAATAGTAGTATAAATACATGTTAAATGGTTGTATTTAATTTTGAGATTTGTCAGATGCTTTGAATGTTTAAAACTTAGCCCAAATATTTACATAAAGACTTTGGAATTGCCAGCATGCTTATGATTTACATTTAACATAACACAACTTTGCTCTACCTCTGGAGTGTCGATATCCTGAACAGGTGAGTCTCCTCCATCATCGTCACTCCCTTTCCTCTTTCTTCTGTTTCGGACACTCTGAATTAAGTTTTTATGATAATCACAAATGTAAAGGTGTCTTGCCTGAAACAGAAAAGTTCCGAGGGCGGTGAGTACAGAAGAATGCAATTCCGCGTTAGTAAAATGCATAGGCCCAGATGAGCGACTGAACATAGAGTCTAAGCCTGCCACTGTTTAGACAATGTAACGTTCCTTTCCAATCTTAAAACGGGTTACCCGGCTCTAACCTTAGCAGCCTGGGAAAACTGTTCGTGGGGGAGGGGAGGGAGAGGGGAGCAGACAGAGGAAGAGAAATTTCAACCCTCTGGGTTTTGTCATCAAATTGCATTGAGGGTGACCTAAATAAGTTAGCTCCTGCTGATTTTGACTCCACAAGGGAAGAGGTGATGTTGTCCACAATTTTGTACCTGATAGTATTTTCTCTAGTTTGAGAGCAGCAAATTATATTAATGTTAAATATATGCTTCCCAATGTTTCTAATTAGGTAGTCAAATTCTACACAGACACAACTGCATTTTTTACAAACGCGCTATTAAATTCATGTTTAAATTTCAAGTACCAACATTTCTTTGTGAGAATTAAATGAATGTATGTATCTGTATTGTGTTTTCAATGAAAGCAAACGGAAACTATTCACATTCACTTGCAACGTTTCTCATGGGCCCTACTGAAAATCTGCTTAAACAGAAACACAAATAAACTTTTTCAAACAATTTAATTACACAGGCATTTGAGAGTTACATAAGGAGCGATTGGAAACACTGAGCTGATTGACAGTCTCCCCTTCCCCCCTTTAAGGCGACAATTAAGGGCCTTTTAAATTGACTTCTACGCTAAGAGCAAGTTAAAAATATACAGGATGTGTGGAAGCTATGTATCTTCTTCAATTTGCCACCAGCCAGAGCTCTGAAAAGTAGCAAAGGAGCTCTCTGAAACCTCATAGCTGGCCCAAAGAGCAAACGTGCGTGAAGACGGAAAAAAAAAAAAAAGAAATCCCGATGGCTGCCAAGAGGGCTGTAAAACCACCGAGGCTTATTTGCAGCCTCGGTTCGGAGCAGCTGCCCGAAGAGCTGACACCGCAAACACGGTTTACAACCACCTCCCCCCAGTAAGGCACTGGTGAGCTCTCTCGGCTTCCCTCTCCGTGTTCAAGAGAAACAACACCGAGGGGGTGGGGAGGAGGAAGATTTCCCTTCTCTGCGACGTGGGTTCCTCCCAAGACTCTACTTTCCCTAAAGGAGCGGAGCTACTCCCCGGGGTCAGACGCTGGCTCGGGCAGCAAAACAAAGGCGCCTCCATTCCAGAGAAGGGGCTGCCCGGCACAAGAAAACTACTCTGGGCTCTCGGGAACGCGGTTCCCTTTGTTTCGTTTCCAGATCTCAGCGAAGGAGGAAGAGGGAAGCCTGGCGTGGGAGAGAGGCGAGGCAGCGGGAGTCGGGGTAGGGGCGGAGGGGACGACCCGCACCACTGCGCGAGCGCGCGCTGGCTGGGGGAGGTGGCCGGAGTTGCAGCGACTTTGTTTCCATCCGAGAACCCACGAGCCCCCACCTGCAAGCCCAGTCCGGACGACTCGTGAATCCCCCCCGCCAACAACCGGGCTGAGCGGGCAGGGGCAGGGGCAGGGGCAGGGGCAGGGGCAGGGGCAGGGGCAGGGCAGGGCAGTCCCACTGCCCACTTACACTCTTATCCAGCTCGATCTTCACCTTCTTCTGCGAGATGCTCTTCTGGATCCTCTTGCTGAAGCTGGCGTTGCCAGCCGCGCGCCCGCACCGCTCGCCGTCCTCCCGCAGACAACAGAGTTGCCCGAGGCCCGGCCCGACGGCTCCGGGGGGGCCGGCAGCCGACACCGCACCGGCACCCGGTACCTCTGCCCCGCCGCCCGCCGCGTTCCCGTTCCCCGCCGAGGCGGCGGCGGCGGCAGCGGCTGCTGCTGCAGCGGCGACCACCGCGGCCACGGCGGCGGCCGCGTCCCCGCCGCGGCTCATCTCCTCCGGAGTGAAGCCGTTCATGTCTGCCAGCTCGGGGGCGCCGGCGCCGCCACAGAGCCCCGCTCGCCGCGCCGCTCCGCCTCCTTCCCCGGGGCGGCCGTTCCCTCCGCACCCCAAGTGTGGCGGCGGCACGGTCCGACGCCCAGAGTCCCGGGCCTGCCGGTCTGTCGGCGCTGGAATAGTGGCGGCTTCCTGGGACTGCGATCGGGAGTGGGGCGGCTCCTAGGAAGGGGACCCCACTCACTGTCACATGGAGACTTTCAGCAGTTGGACCGCCGCTCCACCGCCTCCTTCCAGCCCCAGGACCTGCGCGAGTGAGGCGCCCCGCCTCCGGCCCCGCCTCTCCGATGCCGCGCGGCCCCACGGGAATAGTAGTTCTCCGAGCCGACTGGCGCTCCGTTCTGATTACGTGTCCGACGGGCTGGACGAACTACTATTCCCAGCGTGCACCGCGCGGCCAGCCACCCATGAGGTTTTTTTTTCCATTCCAAGCACCGGGCAAATCCGAGTGTGAGGTCAGGCATTACTGTATTTCCTCGCCTCTTTTATCTCCTCCGGGCAAGGGCTGCCTTTAGCGCCTGTTATTCCGTAAAGTTAGTGTTCAGACAGCCAGTGTGCGTGTGTGTGTGTGCGTGTGTGTGTGTGCGTGGGGTGCTAGGGAGTAAGTGAGGAAAAGTTCGTGGGCTCTTCCGTGTTTGTGGAGAACACTCGGGCGATCTGGCGCTCAGTTGGGGTCCGGATCTCCATCTCCACGCCGCAGCGGACTTGGGGAGCGTGGCAGGTCCTAGGCACGCCCGTGTGCCAGCCGGTTGACAGGCACCGCCTGTCCCTCGAGTTCCTCGCAGACGGATGGCGGGGTGAGATCGTTCCAAGGAGCCCCACGGCCGGCCACCAGGTCTGCAGGACTGCTCCTCAGAAACTTGGCCGTGCCCTGAGTCCTACACACGCGTACACGTGTGCTCGTGTGGGTCGCGGGCGGGCGGGCGCGCGCCTGGGTACGTGTTTGCGCTCTCGTAGGCGTGGATTCCTGCCCGAGCCTGTGGTGGGCGGGGTGGAAGGAGGGGCGTGGCCGTGCCAGCCCCGCACCTCCGCTAATTTACTGGACAGTTCAGCCATCCCTCCTCTGCCCAAACGAAAATAATGTATTTCAGGAAGAGGAGTTGTGAAAGAGAGCCCCTTTAGACATAGCCGATTTGCTATCAGATTTACGGAGAAACTCAAAGCTGCCGGTGTTACCTGGGGAATTTCCAATCTCGGATGTAACCGTGAAAATTAGTGAGCAGGTTTTTATTATTAAAAATGGTAGTTTTTATGTCGTAGTTGTTAAATTATAAGTTAACATGTTTAATCAAATGTTAGAAAATTCTAGGATCTCATGCCTTCCTATGTCATCTCTTCCATCTCGGGGACCCCAGTTCAGTACACATTAGGCCTCCGACTGTACCCTTTGCGTTTCGTACCTTATCTTCAGTGGCTTTGTTTTGTTTTAAATTTCCTTTGGGTTCTTTTAACCTGACATTAGTCATACATTCTCTATTTAGGTGTGCCCAATCTGCTCTAAAATTCACCCATAGTTTTTGGGTTTTGTTACACTTCTTAGTCTTATAATTCTTGTCATTTTAAATGTCACCAATTTCCCAGTCCTCTGACAAAATTTAGAAGTTTGACTTTTTCTTCAGTACACCTAGCAAGGACAGTGAGTCTTAGACTATGTTTAGTAAGTCTGTTTCACTTGTCTGTCGTTTCTGGTGATGATGCCCACACCTGACTCCTCTTTCATTCATTATCTTTGATCGACTTGCATTTTATTTGAAAGAAATAATTATAAAATAATTTGAATTATGCTCCTACAGAGCAGCTTCGTCTCCTTCTCTCTGGTGCTACAAGTCCTTAACTAATTAGTGCCTGAGGACTCTGCAGGCATGCAGATGATATTCTAATTCATACTCCCACCGTGGGGCTATGGTTCGTGCCCTGTGGCGAGTGACTTACTTTTTATTGCGGTGCCGAGAATTGAGCCCAGAGCTTTGTGGATGCTTAGTGAATGCCCCACAACTAAACTGCAGCCCCAGTGCAAGAAAGACCCTCTATGACTTCTACCCTTAATGCCGTCAGAAGCCCAACCCTCTAACAAATGCTCAGCTTTGCTCTTCCTAAGTTCTTAAGTGTTGGTGCTAAGATTAGTCAGCCTGACTCGGACCTAAACACACCCGGAAGGAGGCATCTCGGGTGAGGAATCACCTCCATCGGATTGGTCTATGGGCATTTCTGTGGGCTGTTTTCTTGGTTGTTGATTGATATGGGAGGGTCCAGGCCACCATGGGTGGTACTGCCCGTGTGGAAATGGCCTGGGCTGTGTAAGAAAGTTAGCTGAAACTGAAGCCGGGTGCTGGTGGCTCATGTCTTTAATCCCAGCACTTGGGGAGGCAGAGACAGGAGGATCTCTGTGAGTTCGAGGCCAGCCTGGTCTACAGAGTGAGTTTCAGAACAGTCTGGAATGTTACACAGAGAAACCCTGTCTCAAAAAACAAACAAAAAGAAAAAGGAGGTTGAGGATGCTAGGGGAGGCAAACCAGTAAGTAGTACTTCTCTGTGGTCTCTGCTTCGGTTTCTGTCCTGGATTCCCTTTATGATAGACTGTAATGTGCAAGCCAGATAAACCCTTTCCCCAAGTTGCTTTTGGTCATGGTGACCATCACATAAGAGAATTGCTATACCTTCCTGTGCCAGTACTGCCTATATTGAAACAACACGTGCATCTTGATTCGACCTACAGTTTAACGTTTTGCTCAGCTCCATCTGTGGCTTCTACCATGATTTCGTTCCCACCGATATGAAGCCACCTAATGCTGGAATTTGCTCTGGCTCTAAAATTATTTGTGGCTAACTGTCACAAAACAGTGTCAATTTAAAAAAGAAGTTTAATGTAACTTAAAATCCCCAGGGCCCCAAATTAAATGCACACATCTGAAGGTCTGATGCTAAGATGTGAATGTGAGTGAGAACCCAACAGTGTTTGTCTTCCTGGGTCTGGGTTACTTCGCTCGGGATAACGTTTTCCAGCTCCATCCTTGTACCTGCCAATTTCATGAGTTCACTTTTCTTTACAGCTGAATAGAATTGTGTATAGGCACCACATTTTCATCGTCTCTCATCAGCTGGTGAATGTTTGGGCCGTTCCCATGTCCTAGAGGCTAAATGAGCATGGGTGAACATGTGGTCCGTATGGCAGAAAACAGAGTCCTTGGAGTACATGCGCAGGAGTGACATATCTGGCTCGTTGCGGGGACGTTTTGTTATGATTTGGAAATGTTTGCCTGAAGAGCAGTGAAGCAAAGCAGCCAGCCATAGGCTCTGCCTTCCACTCAGACCAAAGGAGCCATCCTGTCCTCAGATTTCATCTCCAGACTTCGCTGCTCCTCCAACTGCACTGCTTTCCACCATAGGTCTATTTCTAACTTTCCTGAGGACCCTCTACAATGATTTCCACAGTGGCTGCACCAGTTGACATTTCACCAACAGTGCGTGAAGGATCATCTCTCCCCACATTCTCTCCAGCATCTGCTGACTTTTGTTTTCGTAATCTTAAGCCATTCTGACAGGGCTAAGATGAAATCTCAAAGTATCTTCATTTGTATTTCTGGGGCTAAGGAGGGTGCCCACGTTAAAAAATATTTCTTAGCCATTTGCATTTCATCTTTTGAGAGCTCTGTTCAGTTCCATATCCCATTTGAAAAAAAAACTATATTTGTTTACTGGGTTTTAGATTTTTTTTTAGTTCCTTATATATTTCAGACATGCATTTTCTGTCAGATGCTTTTTTTCCCTGTAAAAGACTGCCTAACTTTTCTTTGTAGTACAAAAGCTCTTTCAATTTCACTTGTTGTCAGTCCTAAATGGTGGGTGACCAGAGTCTGCATATAATAAGTGTTGGTGGAGTGCTCAGCCACAAATGGAATGCCTGCATCTCTTTCTTTCTTACACACACACACACACACACACACACACACACACACACACACACACACACACACACCAGGACCAGGGCTCAAAATATGGCTCAGTAGTTGAGAGTATTAGCTGCTCTTGCAGAGGTCCTGGGTTCAATTCCTAGCGTCCAAGCGAGGGCCCACAACCATCTGTAACTCCGGTTTCAAGGTATTCAGCGCCCTCTTCTGGCCTCCCCAGGCATTGCATACATAAGGTGAACAGACACACATACACTCAAGATACCCACACAGGGTCATCTATTTGCAGGCTTAGTCCCTAGGTGAATTATTTGGAAAGGATTAGTAGGTGTAGGAGGAGGTGTGTCACTAGGAGATGACTTTGAGGTTTCAAAACCTCAAGCAGTGTCAGCCTGCTGCCTGTCGATCAGGATGTAAAGTTCTCAGCTGCTGCTCCAGCACCATGCCTGCCTGCATGCTCTCCGACATGATGATAATGGACTAACTCTTGGAAACTGCAAGCTGGCTCCCAATTAAATGCTTTCCTTTGCAAGAGTTGCCTTGGTCATGTGTCTCGTCACCACAATAGAACAGGGACAAAGACAGAAGTAGAGGTTTGTTTTGGCTTACTGTTATAGAGGAAATGCTTGAGGGTAGGGAAGCCATGGCAACAGGATCCAGAGGGTGCTCAATTCAGTGCTTCTGAACTCAGGAAGAAGGACACCATGAATACTTGTGCTCAGTTTACTCTCTCCTTTTTTCTCCGGCCCAGGGCCCAGACCTTTTTTTTTTTTTTTTTGGTTTTTCGAGACAGGGTTTCTCTGTGGCTTTGGAGGCTGTCCTGGAACTTGCTCTGTAGAACAGGCTGGCCTCGAACTCACAGAGATCCGCCTGCCTCTGCCTCCCGAGTGCTGGGATTAAAGGCATGTGCCACCAACGCCCGGCGGGCCCAGACCTTAGAATAGTACCATCTACAGACCTTAAAATAGTACCATCTACAGACCTTAGAATAGTACCATCTACAGGTGGGTCTTCTCATTCAATATCGACTTTAGATAATACCTTACAGGCCTGTCCTGAGCCTAACTAATCTAGGTAATCCATCACAGGTTTGTCCTCTTGGTAAGTCTACATCCTATCAAGTTGACCATCAATACTAATCATCATATCTTCCAACTTACAATTCAATTACATTGAAATGAGTCCCCCTTAAACATTTCTGCATAGCATTCTAGTAGCCCGAGCTCAGGAGAAACTTGTTTTTTCTTCCTTTTTTTTTTTAATTTAACTTAGAAACAAGCTTCCTTCACATGTCAATCCTAGCTCCCTCTCCCTTCCCTCCTCCCCCACCCCCAACAACTCCCCAACCTCCACCCTATTTCCCCCTCCACTTTCCAGGGAGGGTGAGGCCCTCCATGGGAGATCTCCAAAGTCTTATCCCTGGCAGGGCCTAGGTCCTCCCCCATGTGTCCAGGCTGAGAGAACATCCCTCCATGTGGGATGGGCTCCCAAAGTCCATTTGTATGCCAGGGATAAATACTGATCTACTACCCGAGGCCCCATAGATTTCTGAGGCCTCCTCACTGACACCCATGCCCAGGGGGTCTGAATCAGTCCCAATCTGGCCTCTCAGCCATCATTCCAGGGTCCATGAGCTCCCCCCTTGTTCAGGTCAGCTGTTTCTGTGGATTTCACCAGCCTGGTCTTGACTTCTTTGCTCATCATTCCTCCCTCTCTGCAACTGTTTCCTAGGAGTTCAGTTCAGTGTTTACCTGTGGGTGTCCTACTTCTTGACAAATCATCTTTCCAGTGCCATAACAAATGTGGTTTTATATTGAAGATCCCCAATGCAACTTTAAGAAAATCCATGCTACGATGTTGTTAACAGTTCTCTATATAATTTACTTTTTGGAGCATTCTGACATAGCTTTATGGTCATGGCAGGCATATACAATTGACTGTAATATGCCACTTAGAATTGTAATGCTCATTATGTGAAGTCGATATTCAGAGCATTTCAGAGACGTTCTCCTTATCTTGAAAACAAGTGCAAGGAGAGTTGAATGAAGTTTGATGCTCTGGTTCAGATGTGGTTTGCCTCTCAAGATTTAGGTACTGGAAGCTTAGTCTCCAGTGTGGTGATTGTTAGCACACCTTCAGCATATGGAGACCAGTGAGAGGCCACCAGGACACTGCCCTGACAAAATTAGTTCCCTTGCCAGTGGTCTGTTGGAAAAAGAACATGACGGCCCTGTTGTGTTTCTTTTGCTTCCTATATTGTTGTGGAATGGCTCCCACCATTGTGATGTCATAGGCTCTCACCAGAGCATAGTCAATGCTTGCCTTCTAAAGAGTTTCCCTTCATAGGGTCCGTAGCCTCCATTATTAGGAGGTGGGCTCCTCCCGAAAGGCATTCCTGGGGGACTTGGTCATTGCTGCCACTATGCTTGAAAATACAGAAGGTATTTTAGAACTTGGTAACATGTAAAGACAGAAAACGTTTGGAGGGATGCTTAGAAATGTCCCAGAGTGCTGTTAGTGGTTTACACATGGTGCTGACTCTGTACGAAAAGCCACCCTTGCTTACACCACTGGTGAGGCGTGAGGAAGGCCCAATGTTGTTGGAAGAGAGTCAAAGTGTCAAAGCATTCAGTATGGGTCTTACTGTCAATTTTGGTCCGATTTACAGTAAGACATGGGAGCAAAGGAAACAGTGGCAACGTGTTGAATATGTGCTTTCTGAGACCTTTGCAAATGTGGCAAGGAGGGCGGAATGTATAACAGTGCAGCTGAGCAGCTCCTTGCTGAAGATGTTAGAAGGGACAGGAGGAAGCAGGTGCTGAGGAAAAAGAGTAGAAAGCTGTGAGACTGCCTCTCCTACCACAAGCTACAACACAGACTTTTCAGGGCAAAATGCTTCCGGGATGAACTGAAGGTCACCTTCCGACTGCTCAAAGTCCAGGCCCCACTTGGGATTCTGTGTGTGATGATGTGTTCTGAAAGTACTGCCTCCGTGGTGAGGTCCGCCTGGGCTGCTTCTAGGCATACGGAACGCATGTTATGGCATCCGAGCAATTTCCGTGACAATTACAAAGGAGATCCTGTGCAGTTGGACTGAAGTTTGCCACAGGGTCAGACCCCCCCCCCCCCGTAGCAATTTGATTACTAGAATGTGTAGCGGAGCCAGGAAGATAGAGGACTCAGTGGTATTGCAGGACCGACTTTGTTAAGCGCCAAACATTAGCCTACTACCTGAGAGAAAACCCATGCTTAGTATAGATAAAGGGGAATCTAGAAAGTAAAGTTACATCTACTAGACCTAATTTCTGGTGAGTTAGTATCTTGAAATAATGTACTCTAGAAGTAAAATGGCTTGTCTTAGGGTTGCTATGCTATACCAAGGAGGAAAAAATGGCTCTTTAGTAGGTTACAAGTCAGGGGCCGGTGAGACGGCTCCATGATGAAGAACGCTTATTGTCCTTCCAGAACCTGAGTTGGATTCCCAACAGCCACAAGGTGATGTACGATAGTCTGTAACTTTAGTTCCTGGGGGTCTGATGCCCCCTTCTAGTCTCTGAGGGTACCAGATTTGCATGCAGTGCACAGATTTATATGCAGGCAAAATACCCAACACTTGTCTGAAAGTGTTATAACACTTTTTTTTCACCATAACAAGACTTAGGAGAAGGTATTCTTTTTTTTTCCCCCAGTTCTTCTGTTTAGACTCAGGACATTGCTTATGCTAGGCAATCACTGCCTCTGAGTTACTACCCTGAACTTTGAGAAACTGTTCTTGTTGATTCAGTAAGGAGATACTGCCAGGGCAAGATTTCTGACTTTCCTGCCTTTCTCCTTTGATTCTGAGAACACCATTGTCATTTGTGCTGAATTCTCTACCAACATTTTATATAATCAAAGAACTTTGTTTTGGTTTGGTTTGTTTTTTCAAGACATGGTTTCTCTGTGTAGCTTTGGAGCCTGTCCTGGAACTAGCTCTTGTAGACCAGGCTGGCCTCGAACTCACAGTGATCCACCTGCATATGCCTCCCAAGTGCTGGGATTAAAGGCATGTGCTACCAACACCCAGCTAATCAAAGTACTTTTAAAAGTAGGAAGGAGAGGATGGTTATTAAATATATAATTAAGAGCATTCTTAGCTGGGCTAAGAGCTAAGAGCTCCTCAGAGGTTTTCATTCTTTTGAAATTCATAAGGTTTATTAGGCAGAGGACATTTTTATCCGATAAACTGAGAGTGGCAGCCAGGTTGCTCCTTACCCATGCCTAAGCCTCTCCCCTGTGGGGGGGGGGGGGAAGGGAGCACGTGGGGGGCGTGGGGGGGCAGGACTCCTCAGTGAAAGAAGGCAGCTCCCTGCCGCAGGTCAGAGCCATTTGGAGATGTTTAAGAACGAACTCCCTCTTGCTGGCAGCCAGTAAAAGATTTGTTACACAGATAATCAGTCTCTCTTAGCTCTTGGGGGGGGGGGATCGCTCTGAGGCTCCTGTTCCCAGCGCTTTCCCGTGAGACTGTGTTCAGGTCATTAGCAGTGGTAGCTGGCTCGACGGCACACCCTTTATTGACTGCCTTCCCCCTCTTTGTCTAGCTTCCCCACCTTCCACGGGTGTTTCCTGACTCCCTTAGATAAACTGTCTGCACCAAAATCCTTGTCTCGGGGTCCCAAAGGGCATTTCCACCCCCTTATTCACCTTATACCTGCCCCTTAGCTAAAATACTTATTGAGTGTGTGGGCACATGATTTCAGAGAAGCCAGCTGGAATCCTTCCCCGGGGAACGTGGCCAGTCTGCGAGGGAGAGCGTTGGGCTCTTTTTTCTGCTTCATCTTCTGTTTTGTTTAGGCATCATTCGTTCTACATCCAATAGAGCACAGAGTGGAAACTTCACCTTCATAGACTATTTAGTGAAATAAATTCTTG